TCTCTCTTTAATGTTGACCTGTGGGGTACTAATGTTATAGATTTTTTTAGTGTTATTTGTTAGTGCTAGCTAAATGAGACTGGAAAAACAAGAGGAAAAACAATCAGAGAAAATTTGTAGGTATACCTAGTACCTAAATATATACGTAGGCACCCTACTAGAAAATAAAAATAGAAAAATTATTTTAAAATCACATACAGACACTTCCACTTTATTGTAAGTACATATATATGTAGCAAAAGATATTTTATTAAATTCAGTGAGCCAAGATTTGTTTTACAATCTTTCCGGAAATATAAATTAGTATTATTAATATTAACAAGGGCTTCAAATCTTTAACGCATAATCATCGATAGCAGTAAGCAAAAGGCAATAATTCGTATTAATATTACTTTGATACATGCGTTTCCCATTATTTTAACAATAAATTTCAAGATTAACGCTGAGTTTCTTGGCATCGCATTAAGGACGGGTTTTCAATTTGCTGCTACAAAAGTCAAGATGCACATTAAAATTGATTGAGACGAATACCGCTTGGAATGAGACTGGGAAGCTATTTTGTTTACATTAGGTGCTTTCGAAATCACAATGAATTGTTTACTTATCTATATATCTACGTGTACGCCGTACGTGTACGATTACATTTTTTTTTATTTTAACAACCTTGCAAATAACCTACTTTTAAGTACGAGTATATACATAAAATATGCAACTCCCAACTCTTTGTATGCCTAGCTATATATTATTTTATTATAGATATATATAAGCCATAAGGCTTAGCCAGCGTAAGCCTTGTGAGCGCTATTCGTTTTATTCGGTGGCATTTTATTTTTATAATCAAAATACAAATCTGTTTATTTTCAACGTATACTATACGTATACATTCCTAAATCATTCAATATCATCCATTGTACCCGCGAAGATTATTGACAGTATTTGGTAAAAGTAAAATAAATGGCACTCTTTGTTTGTGGGATAATTTGAGATTTATTAGTATGCGTTCCTATATTAGTCTTCCGATCGCTATAAAACTGATGAGTTGTTTTATGCGCTCTCGCGTTTTTTGATTCAATAGAATCATCGTAGATATGCGACATTTGACTCGTGTTGGATAATCAATTAAGTCTTGATGAATACGACTGGTACGATCGTATTGTGTATGTATCTATACATATCTATATCAGGGGGTATTTAACTGCCTCGGTGGTGTAGTGGCTAGCATGTACGGCTGCACACCCGGAGGTCCTGGGTTCGAGTCCCGGGTCGGGCCAAGTTTAGTTATTGAGTCTTTCTGTACATTAAGCCTCAGTAACAACCCGGAGTTGGGAAGTTGGAGGTGTTTCACTCCCGTGCCTCGGAGAGCACGTAAAGCCGTCGGTCCTGCGCCTTAACTCTCACTGGTCGTGTCGAGCAGTCGTCCCACCGGAGTATGAGAGTGATAGGAATAGAGAGTGCAATTGTGTCTGCGCGTACACTTGTGCACTATAACATCCCCTGCGCAGTTGGCTGGTCTCATTGTGATTGGCCGCCGTGGCCGAAATCGGTTTAGAAAACATCATATCAGGGGTAATTAAATCATGAGTAAAAATAAGCCAAAGGCTTATAGTAATTAAAAATTATATAACATGAAGTGAATAGTGAAAAATGCGACACCAAAATCCTAGTAGAATTAGCAATGAAATAAGGTGTTCGGAGACTGAAATAGAGCATTACTGTACCAATAACGCGAACTAGGTGAACTTTTGTGAAAATGTGATTCCTGTGTTCATGATATAGTAGTAAAGACATTAATCTTACAAAAGACAAGGTTTCACTTCAAATTCTAACGCGTAAAAATATTCCACGTAAAACATTTTTATTTTTGCTATCCTAAATAATGGGGTTAATGTACGAGTATAGTTAAACCATGTGAAAAAAAATTAACCTTTTGAAGTGAAACTTCTTTAGAATCGTTGTAATTTGAAATCCGATGAAACGGAAATGCAACACTATAAAGAGACAAACTTATAAATATATACGATTAAACCGGCGAGAAAATGAGATAGAATATATTGCTATGTTGCTATGGTAACCGTTCTTATTTGAGATAGGATACATAACACAGGAAGTGAAAAATAATAAAATTAATCTATACATATAATAAAATTGTAACTAAGCCGAATCTGTACATTAAATATTTTTTGGAAAATCTTATTGAAATAAACATTATTATCGATACAGAGGCCGAATCTATAGTTTTTAGAATTTTTGTCTGTCTGTTACCGCATCACAGAAAAACCACTGAAGGGATTTTGATGAAATTTGGTACGGTAATACCTGGTTATCCGGGTCAACATATAGGATACTTCTTACTGCGGGAAAATACCTCATTTCTGAGAAAAAATGCTAAAAATTGCAATGTAAGAGTATACTAATATGTAAAACCTAAGAATTTGGTTTTTGGTCATCTGAACGCGGGCGGAGCCGTGGGCAATGCTAGTTACCGAATAATATGTAATGTATATTTTCGAGTACCTATGTCAAATAAAATGTAAAATAATTTTTGAACTTGGTAAAAATATTCATTGTAAAAAAAACCTTATAATTATCCTTCTCCTGATAGGTACTCTATATTTATCTCATTCTCTCTCGTAGGACACTTTTCTGACGTTTCACTTCTACCATGTGTTAATTGCACATACAGGCACTTTTTTATTACAAGTGTAGGGGAACAATATTTTATTTATGTATTCAAATTATTAATTAATAAAATATTATTAGCATGTATACTATGTGTAAATTAAAATGATAAAATATATAAATAGAAATTCTAAATTAAAATGACAATTTTTTAAAATAAAATTATATAATAAAATTGTTCAACGAACATTTGGACAAACGTATTAGCATTTAATATTAGTTAATCGCTATTGCTTGTAGGCGGAGCCAACTGCCCGGCCGACCGAGCGGCCGAGTAAGTGTTTTGTGACTCGGCCGCTGCAGAATTGCCACGCAGTCTACTCAAATCCGCTATCGACGCTAGGCTTGTATCTGTTTCTCTTTATTTGCCGCTATTTAAATTCGCTTTTTCTTATAACTTATACCATCTTTCTTTGTGTTCTACGTTACGTGTGTAATCTATCTTATATGCAAAAGACAGCTAAAGACAGCACATGACTCCCACTACTTCTGTTTCTTCTAACTGATAACTGTATGTGTACTACATATTGTGCAAAATATGGCATTCAAGAATTGGTGGTTTAATTTAACGCCTCATAGGATAACTTTATATAACTTGCTACTACGACCACCACACTGGCGACCACCACACAAGTTAATTACTGATTCGTTATTAGGTATTAAAAAATAATAATATAGAAATCGAATGGTTTTCCCCTTTTTTATTATGCCTGACCCAAGCTTCATAACATACAAATCTGCTTTTCCACATTTTTCTTTTTATCATACAATACTCACTGGGGTTCACTAGTCTCGTTTTTGGCAGCTGAGCTAATCCTTAATGGGGAGCGTGTCTGATGTCTGCTATTAAGTCACAGATTAATAAGTCTTACTAGTATTGATTTGGTTTCGTCCTAATTGGAAGAAAATGGATCGTCAATTAATTTAGTCCATCCTCAAAAATAAATTTATTAATCAAGTTATCATATATCTACATATTAATATTATAAAATATTATAAAAGGGAAAGTTTGTACATGTATGGTTGTAATGTTGCTGGTGTTACTGTTTCACGCAAAAACTACTATACTATATATATCTTAGTATCAGAGCAACACATACGCTGCATATATAATTTAAATAAAGAAAACGCTAGTAAATAATAATAAATAAAGTTTTAAGAAATATTCTTTTAAGTAAATGAATCAATAAATTATACTGGAAATTTACCCAATTAACTATTAATTATTAACTAAAGATTAAACTTCTGAATATGTCCGACGATAGTTTTATTTTGAATAGAAGTCTATTATAATTACAGACTCTACCTTCATGTAAGATAATATTTAACTATAAATAACACATGACAAATCTATACATAAATAGGCAAAGACAAAAGCACGGTAATATTACATATACATTACCGTAACAAAAGAGTTTGTTTTTCTCCTCTGTTTGTCAACTGTTTTTTTTTGTATAATAGCTATTGACGAGCTTTTAGTGCTCTCAATAATAAAAGTTGTAAATTCATACATGTTTGCCTGAAATTTTCAAGTATTAATTAATTGAAAATAATTATATTAGGTTTATTTTTGTAAATGTAGTATTATTAGTATGATTCCTTATTTCTTTTTAAATTCTTTACGTTGCATGATAAACAAAAAGAGCGCAGCGACACCTCACCCTATTCCGTTTTCCGCTCATTACAGATTATTGCGTGTTGGGTGAGAGTTCCAAACTATATAATAGTTCCAATGTTAATAAAACTAAGCGTCCCAGTGCGTCACTGCTGTTACGAGTATCTTTATACCCAACGTTAATTATTAGGTATAATGAAGTTAATCACGCGAAGCAAATATGATTGCATTATATTTAAATCGTGTTTCAGTGCTAGTCATGTGTCACCCACTCGTATACAAAATTATGTGTAAAACAAAAATAACCAACTATTTCCATACATATATTTACTATTATAGCAGACACCTTCGACACTTCTTTCCGCAGCTTGTTACCCGAGAAAACAGTAATCTCGCACGCCAGATCTGTTTATAAATAAATATGTATTATCGTTCAAATTTTTTAATACATTTTAATAATATTAAAATTAATTTTTTTAATAATATTTTAAATGGAAATAAAATACAAATCATTAACATATTATATAAGTAAGATTCATCTTTTAACTAAAAATATATTCCCTATCGTAAAGCATTTTAAATATTTTATTTTAAAAACCAGGCAAATAATAGTGATTGGTATAAAGAAATTAATATTTAACAATGAATTTTGTAAAAAATATAAATTTATATAGTTTTATAAATAGATACATACTGTGGATAAGCGATGGCAGCGAGCGTCCAGACCGTTTGGGATGTCAGACGCGCTTTCTGTATCTGGGATAACATTCCGTCTCGGGAAGCCATCGGTGCGGCCGCGCTGTTAAGCTTTCCTTTAATATTTATCATATTAGCCAGCAACATGCCCCAAGCTATAAAGCTTATTATTTTGATGTTGTTAGTTGAATTAGAGTGTATAAATTTCAACGTGTTACCAAAATCAACAAATGAAATCAGTGTTACATTTAACAAAAATAAAATAAAAGAAAGTGTTGTTAACTATTACATATCATATGATTCATTTAAATGTGATAGTGAAATATTATGGCGCTGTTTCAATTTGAAAATGTGGAAAAAACGTAAAAGAGTCGGTGTTAGTAATTTAACAGAGAGCTTACTAAAGTTAAGAGTTAAGAGGACACCGACGGAGTTCGGTGTAGGGTACGTAGTAGACGTAGAGACCTTTACTGAGAGTGTTACTGCAAAGCCGGCGGACAGTTTGGTGATAGAAAGATTCAAACAAGAATGGCCTTTGCACTTGTGGCGTAGATACGGGTTGTTCACTGACGACTTCATACAGTATATCAACCCCCACTGGTTGAGCTTCCCACCTCCAGATCCTTCAGTGTACTACACGCTCGGGGGCCTCTACGTCGTGATGGCTGTAGTCGGCTCTGTTGGGAATTCAGTCGTTATGCTCATGTATTTTCGGTCAGTAATATAGCAAATTACTTTGATACTAAAATATCGTTATCTTTTAATGAATTTTCCTGTTGAGATGCTCAAATTAAAATGATTTGAGACAATTTCTTCCTTTTAACACTTATACTTTATAATATTAAGTGATAAGAGATTAAAAAAACAAATATTGAGATTTTACAATCGCATGATGGAAAAATCAGTAAAAGTTATGATTTGATTGGAGATTTGATGAGGAAATTTTAAGATTGCAATTAACGATTTAGTACTTTATATAGGTGTTTATTGTAAGTTCTAATAATTGAAATTTCCAATATACCTATAAAGAAAAGTTAGAATTACTTTTTTTATTGCTGTAAAAAAAAATAGTGTACGTTTACTATACATATGTTATTTTTTACTTATATTTATTTTAATTAATTATTATGGAATAGATTGTATCATATACTCGTACATATATCGACTAAACTTTTTTTATTTAAAACATACCAACGATTAATTATAATCAAAAAACCGTAGAGGTTTATAAACAAAACAATTTCAATCATTTCTGATCTATAGATCAGAAACGATTGAAATTGTTTTTATCTGATTTTATTTACTTTTACCTGAGGCTACATCGTTGAAATTAACTTTTTTATGATGTTCTTAGAACATTTAATCTGAAAAAAATATTAATATTGCTTTTTTTCAAACATTATAAATTTTTTTTGTACCTTATTCGTTCGGTTATACCTTGTTAGATAAATATTATTATTAACAAAAAAATATTATTAATAGTAGACTTAGGCTATTTTTATAGACATGTACATAATTTCTTATATTCCATCACTTTACCACTCTATTCGAAATGAAAGCCTACAAATAATCATTACATATTGTTTACTTCAAATAAGTCATTGTTATCATTAGAAATTCAGGCTAACTTTTACTACGTAAATAACATTTAAGTGGCATATCTATAGCTACTATATTATAAATAAATTTGATATCACAATTTCATTTCAGATATTGAACAATAAAAACAGCTATTATAAAAACTTTCAGCACTAATATATCTTTTTTGTGAAATCATACTTAGTTGCTTCTATAAAAGTTATAAAACATAAATTAGTACATTTTTTCATATAGGTATGTATAGTTAACTAATAGCTCACCCTCGCTTCGTTCGGGTTCGTCTCTAGGTACGTTTTAACGGTTGGTATGGAATAGATAGACTACGAGTATATACATATATATACATAGTTATGATGAGTTGTTGTTGGTTGTATTATAAAGTGTTTTCCCGTAAGAAAGAGTTAATTTCCCGCGATAAAAAAGTAGCCAATGTCACTCTCCAGCCCTCCAACTATCACAAACACACACCACACAAAAAATCACGCCAATCTGTCACTCTATTTCGAAATTGAATGAAGGACAAACATACAAACGAACGAACGAACAAGAAAATACACTTTCACATTAATAATATTAGTATGGATAAGACATAAATTAGTACATTTTTTCATATATTCATAGTTACTTTACTATTAGCTAATTAATCCTTGAAATATAATACTACATACATAATATAATGCACGATACACAATACGCGACAGACAACCATGATGTGAATAAAACGTTCGTTCACAATGTTCGTTGACCTTTTATAAAGCATTAATTACTTGTAAGTTTTCAGTGGAAAGTCTTTATTACTAGTATATTTATATTGATGACTAGCAGTACCCGCGGCTTCGTCCACGTCCAAACTTCCGATCGCTAATAAAATTCACAGGATCACCCGCTGGGCTAATCTGAAGATTACCTGAAAATTTCATCATAATCGCTCCAGCTGTTTTAGAGTCCATAGGATCATACCATAGGACACACATCGATTTTTATTTTATTTAATCAACAATTTAAATTTATTGCTCGGAAAATGGCGTGTTTTATGAATATTTTGTGACACATCGACTGCAGCACCATATCGGATCCATTTGTGAATTTAAACCTTGCAGGACCCACTCGAACATACACAAAAAATATCATTAAAATCGTCCTTGCCGTTTAGGAGATGATAGTGGCACTCCGACTGGAGGAGGAGTAGGTTAACAACCACACGTACAGAAGAATTATATATATTAAGATATATTCATTTCTTATTAGGGTAAGAAATTCAAATGCACATATGTAGGTATATTTATAAATTTTGTATATCGCTACAGGATACATGCGCTACCTATAAACTTTTACAAAATTATTTAGATGTATTTTAAAGTTAAGAGTTAAAAAGGAAGAACTGACGTTAGTAATAATTCGAAAATAAAAAGTTATTTATATAAATAGCTTTTTATTTTTATAGCCGTGGATTCTTTATGAAGCCGTGGATTCGGCTTCGCTCGCGTTAAAACTATAAGAAAAACAAGTTCGAGAATTTCAAAAAATCCATTCTTAGTAGATACCTAACACTTCACAAAGAATTCACCCTCCAAATTTCATGTTTCTAGGGCCGGTTTAGGTTGTGCGTTGATATCAATCAGTCAATCAGTCAGGCTCTACTATCTTTGAGCTAGGTATGACATATGTCTTATGACAACAGCTGGCACTGACTCCTCTACCGGATGTCTGCATACGTTATATAGTACTAAATATCACAGAAAGTGACATTTCAGTTTCTCCCTTGATCATGTTTTCTGCAAAGCATTCGATCAAATTAAAATAAATTCGCCTAAAAATCCGAAAATTTATTTTTATTCAAAATGTCAAAAATTCACGTAAAGTTAAGAAGACATTTAGTAAAGGCTAGCGGCTCACCCTCACTTCTCTCGGGTTCGTCCCTAGTTACGTTTTAACATTTAACTCAAAGATGAGATATTTTTCCGCAGTAAAAAGTATGTTAACCCGGATAACCAGCTATCATCATCAAAATCTGTCCAGTGGTTTTATTGTGATGCGGTCACAGATAGACAGACAAAAATTCTAAAAACTATAGATTCTGCCTCTGTATCGATAGCGATGTGTTTTTCAATAAGATTTTCCAAAAAAAAAGTAATTAATGTACAGATTCGGCTTAGTTAGAATTTTATTGTATGGTATAGATTTCAGCAGCACAACTGCCAACATCAGCCGTTAGATCTATAAAATTATTTCGTACTACGAACCATACGAACTGACATAAATATGCAATTCAAACTGTACCTGAGTCATTCAACTGTCTAATCTACTAAGAAATCTAAGCAATGGTCGATCCTGACTACAAGAGCTGACAAGTAGGACAATGAAATGAAGTTTGAAAGTTCTGATTTATCGTAATAATATACGAGTATATAATGTACGTACATTCGACATATCATTAGGAATAGGTGAACTATTTTGCCATGTCAATAAAAACAAGAAAAAATAATTAAAGAAAAAAGTTAAAGAATATTGATTGAGCTACAAAAACACGCTATATCTATAGAATATTAAATGAAAAATTATTAAAAGATTTAAACAAATATTAGGCATAAAGTAAGACTTTTTTTATCTTAAAGTGCTCGAAAGACAATAAAACCAGATTCAAAAACTAATAAATATTCAAAATTATATATTTATAAATTCTGACCAAACAATATAGGTACTTAAATACACAGACTGAGAAGGGTTGACCAAAACAATAATATTTTCCTGTGGCCTGATCGGATTAACATTCTTTTTATTGCTATATTTCCTACGATAATTGATTAGAATACTAATTCAACAAAACAAAAGAACTACATATTTCATATAATTCTCGTCGTTCTCGCCAAATTTATGTTTAATTAATTACTCAACCAAGATCGTAATTAAGTTTATCTTACTTTGTTATTAAACTTCATTGTAGCCGCAGCTTACGACGTACCGTGCTACGACGCAATTGTTAGTAATAACCTACGTATATGTAAATGAAAATCTCTTTTTCTTTCATCCCGAGGGATTTTTCTATGGCAGGAAGTAAGCCCATGTCAAAATTCCCATTAACAAGTCGTCAGCCACCCCAAAAACTAGCAGGCTCAATTAAAGAGACTATTTGGCCGATTTCACCAACGCCACCTAAGTTTAAGGGATCCCCTAAGCATGGTTAGGGGGCTGTTAGGGGACAGTTTCTTTTTTACCCGACAATCAGGGGTCACCTAAATATTAAAATGCCACCTAAATATAGGTACTATAAATACGGACTCTGACGATGGTAAAAGGAAATTTAATTTAGAGGCTAGTTTAGGGGAACTTTTAAGTTAGGGATCCTATATGCAGGTGGTAGCTTAGTGATGTTGGTGAAATCGGGCATATCTCTACACAAATATTTTTTACGGTTGTGTGTCTTCAAATGTTAAATAAAATATTGTATTGCAAAATTAAATTTAGTCCAGACGATTGTTAACAGTTATAGCTTGTGATTCTTAACAATTTGTTTCCAAACTTTTGTTATCATAAGTATCGACAAAATATACAATAATTAATATAAAACCCTAAATAGAGAGGTAACTTTTAAAAGTAAAATTTAATAGAAACTAAGTGATATTTTTTCGTTTTATCTCTTTATTATATTGCTATATACCTTGCCCTTTTGTAAAAACCTACGACCTTTACTTATCACTCGACGAAACCCTCGTACAGTTTGTACGAGTAAAGCAGCTCTACTGCAGTAAATAAAATAACGAAATTATTTTGATCAGTTAAAAGTCGTGAAAGAAGAATTTGTATATTGGAAAAATAGAATATTAGATACCTATATATTTTGTTATATGACAATGGCGTAAAAATCTTTACTGACATATTGTATCTATACTGTTGGAAATTATAGTAGGTACCTACTTTATAGTTAGGATTTAAAAAGTAATGAAATATTGCACGAGTATATTGTATTGATAAAACATATTATAAAATATAGCCATAAAACTTATATAATTATTTGTAATTATATTTAATATTTTATCTTATCTTACTTCTATAATAATAATATAAATGTGAAAGTTTGTGTGTATGTATGGATGTTTGTTACTCTTTCGCGCCAG